AGTTGGAAGGCACTTTTCCGAGTTGCACTATTTCCTTCCTGAGATAATGTTTGTAAGGCTTCCAGAATTACCGGAAGATTTTCTTTAAAAACTCTGATGGTTTTGTGTTTCTCACTCCATCTTGTCTCGCAAAGTCTGGAAATATTAGGTATCAACTTCCTCCTCAAAACTGATTCCCGAAAAAAGTTTATAGTATCTTTGGTGGTTCCCATGGCATTTCTAATTTCAGGAAGTGAATTTAGATCATTGATAACTAGATTCAGTTTGTGGGACGAGCAATGAAAGTAGAGGGCTTTGGTGTACTTTTTGCGTAAGATCGCTTGTACCCCTCCGTCTTTTACTGACATCGTTGAACAACCATCAAAACCAAAACCAACGCATTTATTTATATTCAGATCTTCTTTTGTCAAATACTCATCTATGCTATGTGCAATCGATTTCGCATCCAAATCTTTTAGCTCAATGAAGCCGACAAACATTTCTTGGACTTGCTGTTTCTTCATCAAAATATCGCATCCCAATCGATAGTTGTTCAGTGCCAGAAATATGAGCTGTTTCGTCTGTTTCTGTTTTCGTGTTTTAATTTGTATTTAACTAAACCACAAATATAATTAAATAAAATAAAAATACTAGCTCGAAGTCCAAGATTAAAGCAGTACATAACTTACCAAAAAACTTTTTGATGTCCATTTTGATAAGATGATGAATGGAGACACACACAGAAACTTCACAACTCAACACTGAGATGATGAGATCTTATTATTTAATAAATATAAATCAATATTGACTAACACAGGCAAGCCGGTAGTCTTATAATCGCTTTCCAATTCGCTTGTTTAGCTTGTTTCGTTGATCGCTTCCAATTAAAAAGTGACTCGCTCGCAGCGGCTCACGTCTTTATATACCCAAACGAACATCATACTAGAATGTACGGTAACATTCTACTTGGTCTAGGTCTAGTAACTGCTACCAAATTCCAGAGAGTTCATTGAACAAGCGCCATCTAGCGTCGAGTAGCAATACTAGGTTTTACAAGGATTGTAGTCGATTTATTCAACTGTAGGTGTTTCTTATGAACACTTACAGATGGCATTGTCCACAAAACCAATTAAAATTGTATATTCGTAACAATAATTTCTAATTTCTACTTTAGGTATGCCGCATGCAAATTATACAAAACTAACGTGAATGCTGGTGAACGGCTGTCGTAGAAAGAAATGCAATGCACACATACACCATGCCTACCTCCTACCTACATATTTTTACGCTGTTTAATGGCCTTGCGTTTTGGCAAATCTGATATAGTCGTGATGAAAATGGCGGCGATTTTAAAAACGGATGTCAAAATCTTAATGTTATTCCCCCCTGTCCCTCCTTGGCGACGCCCTTGCGTGCGGCTAAACCCGAATGAAGATGATTCTTGAATTTTTCCTAAAGACCTAAAAAACTCACAAAATAAATCATTCCTAAACATCAACTTACACCAACAAACTGTCATTGTCATCTTACAGGTTTAAAACTCTTAAAAAGTTAAATTGTATCTTTATAACACAAACTTATGAAAATATTTACCTTCATAATGAAACTTATTAATTGTTTGATGATTACACTAAATTCTGTAACTTTTGAATTATAAATTAAGCTTCTAAATACAAAATATAAAGCTTGTTCAAAATCTTCATAAAATTGACATTTTTCTTACCAACTTAAATTTAACTTAACTTTAAGCCAACATTAACTTCAAAATCAAAAATTTGTTATCAGTGTTATCACAGCAAATTATTAATTTTAAATCTTTGAAAGAAATCAAATTAGCTATTAAATAATAATAATATTAATGTTTTAAACATTAAAAGTATTCGTTTAAAAGATTATATAACCCCACATATAGATGTCGTAAATTACAATCCATCAACTGTCAAAATTCTAACCTCAACGCTTTTCCAGTGTAATCCTTTCAAAAAAAAGCATTTTGACTTGTTATGGATAGAAATATTAACGAAAAAATCCGAAAACCACGTAGAAGTAAAGGTACCCCCTTGTATACTTATAGAAATTATTTCGCACTCGGCGGACTGGTTTTTGGCGGTATTTGTTGGTATTTGTACGAGTAAGTCGCGTTTTTATCTCGAATAATAAAAAGAAAACGTTATCTAAATCTCTTTTTCTCAATTCGTTCTAAATAGGTTGTGGCCACAAACGCAAAAGTTAAAAAAGAGTATTCACGACGGAAAATTTCATTATTCCCAAGAGCATATGACTCGCATCCAAATCATAAGTGAAGGACTTAAAGATAGTGGTACTGCTTTAGCTTTCAGTAGATATCGTTTGAAAAAACAAGAAGAAGAAGATGAGAAGGTTACCAAGCAATCTTGGCTCAGCAAAGCCATGTCAAGCAAAGTTGATTATTAAGGGAGATGATGCGAATAAGTTAGTTTGTTTTTAGTGTTATTAATGTTTTAAATGAATTAAAAATAAAGCAATTGAGTTAACATTGATTAAGGAATTTTTTTCCAGTTCTGAATCTACGTCAAAATATTTCAAAGAAGCAAATAGTGTAAATCAAAATTTTATTGAGTCTCCTTATAAGGATTTAATTAAAGACCAAAAAGTTGTTCTGAATGATTCGGCGAGTGAAGAGGGTGATTTTAGAACTCCTAATGTTATTAAGAAGGTGCAAAAAGTTAACGAAAATAAAAATAATGAAAGAAAAAAAGGTAAAAAAAGCAATAAAAATAAAGGTAAATCAAGACAAACTAATACTTTGGTTAAAATGCTTGAAAAGCAATTTTTAAATTCGAAATGTAATCCTGAACACCTACAAATGGCTGTTGCTTTATCTAAATCGGAACAACCTGAAAGTTCAGATACAAATTCGGAAATTATGACTCAGGAAAAAGTTTTAAATGTTCGTGCTACTTTGGAACAATTTGGATTCAAGTCTAATAAAGAAACTGGTGATTTGATCATTAAGGTTAGTGTTATAAAGGGTAACTGCTACATAAGTGTATTTATTGAAATGCATTATTATAAAGCTCATTTGCAATTGATTAAGCAAAATATGCCTTATACACAAGTCAAGTTTAGTCAGTTTAGGGATTATTTAAATTTTTTTGTTTTTGTACATTTTTAGTATATACTCCTAGAAATATTGGAATTTAGAATTTAATAATAGTTTCTTTGGTAACATATTGACTACTCTGGATAGACTACACTCTAATACACATTTTAAGTAGAAAAATATTTTAAATATTTCGATTGTTTAAAAATACAGGGAAAAAATGTTTCTGACCTAAGTTAATTTTTTATGAGCGTCTATTTTAAAATTTCAATAATACATTAGATGTACAAATTATGTTCAAAATGTCTCTGTTTTATAACCTATCAAATGAGATGTTAACCAGGGCTAAATGTCTTTCTAATTACTCCCTCTGTCCCAAATTATGATATACATTTCTCTAAAATTTATCGATTAAGGAAAGTTTGGAGAATTAACGTTTCTATCCATTTAATATAATCTACATGCGGTATTTACTCTATTTTTTAATTCGGAAGAGTGTTTTCAAATTAAAGCACCAAAAAGAAGGGTCGCTATTGGTCAGTTCTAAGCAAAAATTACACTAGGAAAATTCGAGATGTTGCCTAGAAATATTCTGGTTTAGCCACACATCTCTCAGTAAGGCTAAACCCGAATGATTCTAGTTCTAGGTCTGGTATTAGTTCTAGTGATAGTGCTAATGTAAAACTAGAACTAACACTAGACCAAGAACTAGAAACATTCGGGTTTAGTCTCACGTCTCTCAAGACGGCTAAACTCGAATCTGAAGTCTGAACACGCACTGCTAAACCTGTACCCCGGACTTTGGAGAATTGTCATACTGATATTCCAAGAAATGAATTTTATACGAATTTTTAAATCTTAATCGGCGAAAATTGCAAAATTCGAAAAAATTGTCGATCATTTAAAAAATGTATTTCTCAAGAACTGAAAGTGATTTTTCAAAACGGCTTGTTGCATTAAAAAGAGGATACTTTAATTAATAATTGGTGATATTTCCACAAAGATCCTTCAAGAAATGAATTTTATAACGAATTTTTCAAGTTATCGATGAAAATTGCACCATCGAAAATTTTATCAAAATTTCAAATATTGTTTTCTCAAAAACTAAAAGTTATTTTTCAAAACGGGTTGGTTCATTGGAAAGAAGACACTTTTATTAACACTTTGGGAAATTTTCNTTTTTAAATTCGAAATGTAATCCTGAACACCTACAAATGGCTGTTGCTTTATCTAAATCGGAACAACCTGAAAGTTCAGATACAAATTCGGAAATTACAACTCAGGAAAAAGTTTTAAATGTTCGTGCTACTTTGGAACAATTTGGATTTAAGTCTAATAAAGAAACGGGTGATTTGATCGTTAAGGTTAGTGTTATATATTAATATTAATCAGGGTTTGATTGATTTCAATCAAATAATTTATTTATTTTAATCAATGATTTAAATCAAAAACAATACTGAAAATAAGACTGCACTTTATTACAAAATTAACAAAACATTTAACATTCATGTTTTTCAACACCTAACTTGTTTCATAAAGTAGAGTCAACAAGCCTAAATATTGAAAATATTCTCTCAACAGAAACTGATGAACAAACTGCACATAAAAATTGCTTTAATATTAGCAGTACCTAAACTTCACTACTTCAGCAATGTGTTTTTGTATCACCCACCATTGCAAAGCACTTACATTACTTAAGACTTCCTCTGAAAACATTACTGATGAAAATGGTTCCATTTTTGTTTACAATTTTATAGTTGGCGGTAGTAAACCGGTATTGGCGTACATTTCCTTTGTTGTATTTAAAGCCTCTTCTTTTTCTACAGATGTTAACTTATACGTAGTTTTAGTAACATCTAAAATATAGGCTATGTTAATGGTTAGACATTAAGTGCCTGCTTACACCGTCTATCAAAAACTTTCATTTGTACTGATGATAATTTTTCTTCAAGTAATGTATTTAATTGAAGAGCCTATTGCTAGAACGTGATAAGCTACCAAACTAAAATTTTAAGAAAATCAACTTAAAAACATTAGAAAAATATGAAAATTTCTATGGTGAAAATTTTACCCTAAAAATAAACGTCGTTTTACGCCGGTGTTCCGTTCCGAGAGACACCGGCGTAAACAAAATCGGCGTAAAATGAACACAATTATAATGGACGATATAAGGTTAGGTTCCATGTCAAAATTCTAAGAACAATCTAACATGTTTATTTGTATGTATGTAGTTTCACGTGGGGGTGAGTTACTCACAGCACTTAGGCCCCAGCGGACCCTTTGTACGTCCCCACAATTTACTGTTCATTCAAGGGTCAGAAAACCAGCCCAATCTTTTCATGAACGTTAATATAGAACAGAAAGGTATGTTCCTTATATCCGAAATTTGGAGCCATGGTACTCCGAAAATAGATTCCCTTAAGTACACGAGGTTTGGACAGTCACAAACAATATGACTTACCGTCTCGTCTTCCATTTCACACCCTCTACAGAGGGGTGTATTCGCCAGCTTCATGTAAAACATGTGCTTACGTAACCTGCAGTGTCCGGTCAGGAAGTGGGTGAGAAGCCTCAAGTCACNACGGGTTGGTTCATTGGAAAGAAGACACTTTTATTAACACTTTGGGAAATTTTCATACTCATATTCCAAGAACTGGATTTTATACGAATTTTTTAAACTTAATCGTCGAAAATTGCAAAATTCGAAAATTGTCGATTATTTCAAAAATTTATTTCTCAAAAACTGAAAGTGATATCTTAAAACGGCTTGTTGCATTAAAATAGTATATTAAAAAACTAGTTTCGTAAGACAGGTTTGAAATGCACGAATTCAAATTGAAAAACGGCGAAGCCACGAGTTTTTTAATGAATGAGTGCTTTAAGTCTTGCGAAACGTGTTTTTTATGCTATTTTTTGTAATTCGCGTTTTTATCCTTTTATTTTTTAACAAAAATAAAATAAATTTTGACAATGTAGGGAAATAGGTATGTAGCAGTTGGTAACACCGGTGCACTTGAAAATAGAAATTTGAATTGACAATTAGAAATTGTCAAAACACAAAATGTATTCACCTCAAAAAATTGTTTCATCTACACCTCCCAAAATAAGAGAAATTGCTTAGAGTTCAATATCCTCATCATTATGGACCTTGTATTCGATGCTAAAAACGTGTTTAAACATCCATAGACAAAAATTGTCACATTGACAACTAGAAAAATTGATGACCCATTGCCACCAACATGAACTGGTTCCATAAAATGTTACTAAAATCTCATTACAGCATCGGATGCTGTAAAGAGTCTCATTACAGCACCCGTTTGAATACTGTAATAGGTTTCATTACCGTCGCGAATTACAAAAAGAGTATTAAAGAGTTGTTGTTCATATAATATTTTCAACTCTTTTTTAAAAATAAAAAGCAAAGACGCAAAGACGTGTCGTCAGGTTGATTGCTTGTATTAGAATGATATTTATATCGAAAATAAACAAAAATGGTAACATAGGTAAATTATAATACTAAGGTAATTTGATAAAAGGTATAATTTCTATGTGAAGGTAGGCTGTGTACGCTACAGTTACTCCCCCTTTCACAAGAAAACAAAACGTAAAAAGCAATATTAAAAGTACGAACATAAAAGATAAGTTAGCAAGAAAAATTAAAGTGTACTTTGAATGTATTAAGTAAAAATGCGGGTTTTAAACGATTTATATTTATAGGTAAGTCCTTATTTTTTTTTGAAATTATGAATGTCGTTCGAAGCCTTTTAAGAATTTAAAAGGGCCTTCGTAACGAGGGGTAAGTGAAGGTTGCATGCCTTCAATTTTGATAAAAACGTAATCAGATTTAAAAAGATTTTTATGAAGAAAAGGTTTGTCTCGTGAATGAAATGACGTTTCGATTGGTTGTAGGTTTGAAAATGTTTCACGCAAATTCTGCAAAATGGGTTCCGTCTCTAACGAATGTTGTGATTTTATGAAGAATTCACCAGGTAGTCGGAGAGGTTGGCCGTAAACAAGTTCGGCAGAGGAACAGCCAAGGTCTTCCTTAAGGGAAGATCTGAGGCCTAAAAGAACGACGGGAAGATCGTCATACCAGTTGCNAAAATATCTAGGGGCAGCACGTTTAACATAGTCTCCATTGCAATCGTAGGTGTAGATCTCATAGCGCCTGTGATTAGCAGGCAGGCCAGTCGTTGCAATTGATGCAGCAATGTAGCTTTATATGTATGTTTTAGTGCTGAGCACCAGACTATGGCTCCGTGAGCTACCATGGGTCTTATCACAAAAGTGTAGATCCACATTGTAACTTTCGGATTTAATCCCCAAGTATTCCCAATAGCCCTTCGGCATTGGGTCAGTACAATGTACATGTTTATTTAATATATATCCTATATATATTCGAAATAAATAACAATCTCTTGATATAAATAATGATTTTTTTAAATAAATACTAACTCACTAGTTCGTCAGTACTAAATTAAAGTCTCACACTTTTTTGAGAAAAGCATCTAACTTCCTTTCTTGCAGAATCATAGCATAAGGTCGAACGGCAGCTGTGACATTTCTTTTAACATTTGCGCTTCGATTGTAATCCCCATCTATTTCACAGAGCTCACCTGTTAACCTTTTTATAGAGGAAAGGATACGAGTTAGATCGTCCGTTTTTAGGATTTTTCTATAATTTTCTTTCTCATCCTTCTCCATCAACTCTTCTAATTCTTGATTTGAGAGTGGTTGTTGGTCATGCACGTTTAATAGTTCGGTCACATCTTCAATTGTTACGTCTTCGAATCCACATTCACGTGTAAGCCTGATAATGTCTTCGTTTATGTTAATGTTATTTGCCACTTCTACACTTGCACCTTGTATAAATCCAGGCAGACGTCTACGCCAAACGCTGTTTAAACAATTGTTGGTCACTTCGCCCCAATCACACTTTAGATTTTTTATTCCTTTTAAAATATAGTATGATCGCCAATAATTTTTAACGGTCTGATTGGAATTAGTATCTATCGCCTTAATCATTGCTTTTAATGTTATGCGCAAATAATACGCTTTAAAGGTAGAAGTTACCCCCTGATCCATGGATTGTAACACGGAGTGTTAGGGGGCATGTAAATTGCCTTGACGTCCAATCCCGTGTCTAAGGTTTCAAGATTTTTCGGATGTCCTGGGGCATTGTCTAATAGGAGGATTGCTTTCTTTGGAAGGTAATTTCGGACACAAAATTTAAGTACAGTAGGGCAAAAATAATTTTTATAGTCTGTGAAAATCTCCTGAGTGACCCACCCTTTTTATTCCACCTCTAAAAAACTGGCAGGGAGCTTTTGTCAAGACCTTTAAAAGCCCGTGGATTCTGGGAATGGTACACTACCATTGGCTTAAATTTTAAGGAACCAGAAACATTTGATACCAAGAGAACAGTCAGTCTATCCTTGACAGCTTTAAATCCAGGGGCGCTACGTTCTTCTCGCAAAATAAACGTTTTCGATGGCAACTTCTTCCAATAGAGGGCTGTTTCATCAAAGTTGAAGATGAGATCTGCAGAGTAGTTCCCTTGTTCTACAATTTCTTGAAACTTTTGAGGGTAAGCTGCTGCTGCTGCTACATCAGCTGCTTCGCCGCTTAGTTTAGTACTACAGATATTGGTTCGAGATTTGAATCTCGTGAACCACCCAGTGCTTGCCAAGAAAGTTTCGTCAATGTTTTCTTGCGCCTTCAAATCAGAAAAAATCAGCAGTGCATTTTCGCATATGTCTGCTTGCGATACATGCATATTTTTTTGATTGGCATCATCAACCCACAATGCTAATATTTTTTCCATTTTCTCTATATTTTTGCTCCTGCTGTAAGTTGCGTGCTTTACACTTACAGCGAACCGGGGAATCCCACGCCGGCACCAATCGGCGTAAATCGAACCGGCGCAAAACGACGTTTACCTGTACTTTACTCTAGTCTAGGGTACATAATAGAAAATTAAAAATTGAACACCAGTATCTACTTTAAAATGAAAAGAATAGACTGCAGAAAAGTCTAATTTTTCACGTTTGTCAGTGCGTGCATTTTTTAATATGTTAGATAGCAAAGGTTCTAGATTCATAAAATCGTTTTGTTGCATAATCGTGGATATATTTTTTATACAGTTTCAGCCAAAAAGTTAGCAACACCCTTTTTTTTTGTTTCATTGCATGCACGTTTCTGAAATTTCGGAAATTGAGGTTCATACCGATGTTTCGTCCTAAAGTAGTTTCAAGATGGTGGCCACTTCCGGTCCACCGGAAATAGACCACAACTTCGTTATTTTAAATGGAATGCTATAGTTTTTATTGCACGTTTTAATTATATGTGCAAAAAATATGTTAACTTTGATAAAACTTACTGGTATCTAGCATTTTTCGTTTTTGAGTTATTATGATTTTAGTTTTTTTTTCGCATATTTCACCATGCTATTTAAAACCCCATATCTCAGCCAATGTTCATTCAAGAAAGCTCTAACCTAAACTTGTGATAAAAATTTAAATACTAAGAAAAGTATTTTTTGTTATAAAGCGCAAACCACTAAATACGATACGCCAAGTTTTTGCAATATTCTATATCGCCCTGGGTGTCATAAATTGAAATAGATAATGCAAGTGCAATGACGAGTTAACTCGTCACCGGTCAACAACGTTTGGGCAAGAAAAGACGAGTTAACTTGTCACCGGTCAGCAAACTGTTAAGATATCACTAAAATATGGTGGGTAATACTCTTAAATCGTTCGTCTCTAATTAACTGTAGCCAGAGAGACATAATGACCCTATTTTTGTTTTGACCTGGGCAGTTATCTGTAAATATTACAAGATCCTCCACACCAGGCTTAATATTTTTCAAAAATTTTATCAAAATAGACCTTACCTCATTCGCTCCTCTTTTGGCCTTTTCTTCTGTCCACAACTATATAAAACCCTGTTCGTTAGTGCAGTCATGGACACCACCCAGATTATAAATTCAAATTTTTCGGCAGTAAAAAGCTGGTCCTGCGGTTGGTTTCGGGATAGGCATCGCCTGTTGCATGTCGATCGAAATAACACACTTTTTATCTGTTTTTGCCTTAGATTCTTCTACTTCGCTTTTTAATAAGCTTTGCATTGCAACCGCTCTACTTTTGTACAACTTTGACTGTGTTTTTAGTTCCTGTAATTCCTTCCCATTATTTCCACAAGCTACTGTACTGTTAGATATTTTCAAATTAAAATCGTCGCAAGTTTTGCAAGTATCAGATTTAGGTAATTTAAATCCAATATTAAATTCCGTTCAAAATATTTTTCGATAGGCACTTTTTTTTAACAGCATTTGTACCTCGCTCTTGACACCAAGGAACATAAAACTCTTTGCAAAGTCTAACGATGGTCATGTCATATCACAGTTTAAATAGGTTCTCTCAAAATTATCAGTTCTACTGTAATGACTTTGATACGAACTGTTTCTTTTTGGTGTTTACTCAACTGATTCGGTCGATTACTGTGCCTCCCTCTCTTGTCCTTTCCTACAGTTTGAGCTCCTTGCATTTTTTTGCTGACCAGTCTATTGATCCTGCCACGAGTGGATTGCAGACCATGAACACTCATAAATTCGATTTAAGGTTAAGTTAAGTTAAAGTGGCTGCAAAGAGGTAACTATTCTGCAAGTCATAGGATCCTAGATCCCAGAATTCCTTAAATATTTTTTCATGACTTCCTTCTAGGAAAATCTTACATTTCTTTTTGCACGCACAAGGCGATCCCAATTCACGACCTTTTACACATTTATTGGTCGATTCACTTGTATACTCTTGTCTTAAATTACGCCTACTTTTTCTTTTCGTTCTCACTTACATGTCCGTGTTTCTGTGCCTCCATTTAGACTTTGGAGCTGGTACGGGTGAAACGTCGCATCTTCTGCACACTTTGACTGGGTTGTTATTTATTTCCAAAAAACATGTAGTAGATTCGTTCTGAAAATGTAATGCAAACCAAGGACAGTAAAATTTAACAGGATTGCTACATTCATTGTTGTAACAACGTGCCGGCATACTACGTCACACGATATGCCACGCCCAGTCAACTGTTGTGTTCTATGCGTTTGCTGTGTATTTTTAGAGGTTATATCGTAGGCGTATTCATTTTAACTTCAAAAGTAAATCTTGTTTTAACATATGTCTATCTTATAACCTCTAAAAACACACACCAAACGCATAGAACTCAATGACAGTTAATTGGGCGTGGCAAATAGTGTGACGTAGAGTGCGGGCAATTAACCCGTAGTGGGCTACAAAGTAACAATGAATGTAGCAGTCCTGTTACATTCTACTGTTCTTGGTTAAAACATGACATGCCACAAAATAATAAAAAAAGACACTTACCTCAAAATATTCCGAATCTGCATCGAGATCAGATGGTTCGTAGTCTTTATCTACTACACTATCATCTTCTTCAATAATATCGTCGTTAATTTCACTGTCTTTGTCACTGACTTTGTGACTCACTGACTTTACTAATAACTTTGTACAAATTTTTATGCGGCTTGTCATACCATTGCATGATGAGAAAACATCAAAATCTTATTTTTGCTGGAGGTGGGCTTGTCACGTTCTAGCAATAAGCGCTGCAATTCTTTCCAAACTTCCACTGCGTCAGGGAGGACATTATTTTTTTGTAATTTACCAAGTGCTACAGTTATAGGTTTTAAAATATTCAAATAATCTACCGCTGAGCGTTTGAGTACTTTTAATGGTTTCTCCCACTGGCTTACATATACTTCTAATCAATCTGCCATTCTATTCCACCTCACATCACTTGGCAGCACTAATGTTTTTCCATCAAGCTGCCTGTATTGGGCGCTAGCTAATTGGTTATTTCTAAAATATTTTATAACTTGTGTAACGTGCTGTTTGATATTTGTTACTTCTAAATCTTTGTAAAGTAGGTTTAGTAGGTGAGCTAAACACCCATAAGTTATCACTTCTCATTAGTGCCATATTAGCAGCATTATCTGTTACAAATGATGTCACGTTACAGTTGTATTTTGAGTTACACGAGGAAATTATATTACAAGCAATATCAGTTAAATAGTCACTTGTATGGAGATATCCGGATAGTTTCATATAAAAAGAGTGTCCAGTTTCAGTGGTTATGCTAGCGCCTGCTATAGGTTCATTGCGTACGTTAGACCAACCATCAATGTTTACGCCGCACCCAGAAAGACTTCCACAACATTTAGTTTTCTGTTCTTCATAAATTTGTTCCAAACGTGTCCAGAAGGGGGATTATAACCAGGTCTTAACAATTGCAGCTGCTGTTTGTTACAAATACAGCTCTTGCAATTTGTTTATCTATTTCTTGTTTTTTATCAATATGCGTTGGAACAATAAAGTTTTCCAAATTTGTGTTAGCATAGCCCACTTTTTTAGATATAACAGCCGAATCATTGCCAGCAAATGACTTCGACAAACTTGTAGGTGAGCAACCGCTTTCCGGTCGTTTTTGAGAGATACTAATTGAAAACTGCTCATTACTAGCAATGGTTGATTCAGATGAGTTCTCAATTCCTATAGAACAATATTGAAATAATTGAAAATAGTACTTTCTCATATTTTGTTCCTATATTTTGTTCATATTATTGTTAGATAATTGAATATGCATAAACAGTAACCCAGCTTTTGACCATACTGTATTACATACACGACCAAGGAGCATATTGTTGTATTTTACAACATTCAGAGACTAAGTATGCCAATTTGGCATACATGAAAAAGTTTTTTTTGTAACTTTCAAGTAACGTCGTTTTTAATTTTAATGCTTAAACTTTACATTTACATTTTAACATGTTAGTTCTATAGTTTTTAAAATTCAATATTTACAATAATTGTTTTGAATATCACTGTTTTTGATGTGCTTGACCTTATTTACGATTTATACTTTATGCGAAGTTTTTTGAACGCCGTTTCTTATTTTACGACAACGTTTCTGAAGATGACTAATTAGTCGAAACATGTAAAGCGGATTTACTTATAATAAACCAGTATAAAAGTACAATTAGTGATTTATAAAAATAAAAATTCAATCAAATATCATTCATATCTACTGGTAAAATGGATTTTACTATTAACATTGATCAAATTTAAAATAACGACGTTGTAGTCTATTTTCGATAGACCGGAAGTGGTGAATATCTTAAGAAAATTTCATTAACGTACAAATAATAGAATCCAAAAAATTGGAACCGGAATTCTGGCACTATAGTTAAAGGTAATTATCCCTTTTTTGTACTAATTTATGTCCTTTTAAGTTGCACTAAATACTATTTACCTTTAACTAAATTAATTTCTATGTTCCGAGATCTTCTCCATCAGAGATCCTGAGCTTGCACTTCTTATGGTATTCCTTCAACCTTCGTATTCCTTCGATTTTATTAAGGGCTTCGTCGCGACACGTAATTATTAAAAAAATATATCTTCTAACACGTACAAATGCGTTCTTAAAGAAGAGAACTAGCAATAAAACACTAATAATCGCCCGTATACAGGTGTTCCGGTGACTCGGGTATAAAATTAACCTCATATACTAGAGCAAAAATGATGACGATTCGTGAAAAAAAATTATTATAAAAATCTTCAAATGGCCAAAATATGGGCCATCAAAGTTCAGAAATTTTAACACATTTTTCTAAATATTTTCAATACCATTTATGGTAGAGCGTTGAAATTTGGTAGAGGGTAAACAAATATCAAGCAAAATCATTGAATCCATTTTGACTTTGATCGGGCTGCGGCAACCATGCTATACAGGCTGTCCCTAAAATTTGTTTGCTCAGAACATTTTTGTTCGCTCGTAACCCTACATTTATTTTTGTACTCTTTAAGAGAAAATTTATTTTAGAAACTTTTATCACTCTTTGAAAATTTTGATAACATTGACCGTTTCCGAGTTATACGCCAAAATATTAAGCTTCGATTTCAATGGTAACACTAAAAAACCAAGTCTTCAAAAAAGTCAAGGTTGGCCATGGCAATTAAAAAAAAGTCACCGGAACACCCTGTATATGATTTAAATCATTGATTTTGTTCTATTTTATAAAGTTCATGATTTATTCAAACCCTGATGTTAATTAATAGCAATTGAAAATGTTTTCTTTTTAGGATACTAAAAGATCGAAAAATTCTAAATTTCGATTTATTACCCCAACACTTTTTATTACAACACAAGAAAGCAGAGAAATTGAGATTGCGAAAAAAGTTTCTTTAATTTTATCGGAAAATTATGAGCCGATTAAATCAATTAGTGATAAAAACGATGAATATTATGTTTCGAGTGATTACTTAGAAACCTTTTTAAATTTTAGTTCTACATGTTTTTTTAAAAGCACTTTAAATAATTTACAAAAGGAAAATTTTTACGTTCCAAATTTGAATTTGCCTCATACGAAGTTTAAATGTGGGGGTTTATTAAAAGATTGGTCGAAAATTCCGGGTAGAGATAAAAGTCCTTGTAAAAATAATAAACTAATTAAAGAAACTCTCAATAATTTGAACGAGAACGATATAATTAATGATTTAACTGAAAATTGTGCAGAAGAAATTAATTTTAGTGAAGATAAAAAGATTGAAAATAAAAGGGAAATGTCACCAGATTTATTTTCATCTGATGATGATGAAATTAATGATAAAATCAAAAATAAATCGAATCAAACATCTTCTAATGATACTACTTTAGAAATAACTTTACCATCAAATTTTAATAAACAAATAATTAATTCCCCATCAAATAAAATCATCGAAGCATTTTCAGCATCGATGATGAGTAATTTTAAATCATTGAATAACACAAGCGATTCAGAATCAGATTTCGAAACATTTAAAAGCACAAAAGGCATCGATCATTTCGAAAGTTTTAATATCGATGGTGATGAATTCGCTTTTAGTATATCTCAAAAATGTAGTGATAAAGAATTAAATGATTCAAATAAATCTTTTGATTTAAATTGTGAGATATCCGATAATTCTCAACTTAATAGAGTTAAAAGTTATGAAACTGATGATGTTAATAATACTTGCGATGAGATTTCAGACATGGTTTATTTAGGAATTAAAGACTTAGGTTCTGATGATACAAATAAATCTTTGAGTCAATCATTAAATAATTCTAAAAATGATGAGGTTTTTGATTTAACACAGGAATCTGACGAAGAAAATAAAAATGATCAATTAATTAATAAATCAAAGGTTGTGTTTAATGATGATGTTATTTTACATTTAACTCAAGATTCGGATGAAGAAGATAAAATTTTAAATCAATCATTTAATCATGAAGTTGAAAAATTTAATAATTTATCTCAAGAAATGAATTCTTCAATTAATTCTTTTAATTATAGTATTGAGTCGGATGATGATTGTAATTTTTTTGAGCACCAAGAATTTTATAAAATGAACCTAAACAAAGAAAAATTTATTGAATATTTAGATATAAATAATGAATCAGAATCAAATAGTACTAAATTATATTGTTTTAATGACGATTTATTTATAAACGATTTAATTTCAAAACCGTTAGAAAAAAACGATGCACAAAATGATGCTGAAAAAATAAAATTATTTGAAGATATTTTTACCCCAAAAAAATTTAAAAAATCTTTATCATCAGAACAAGTTAATTCAGTCCGAAAACCAAGCCCTAAAAAATTCAAAAAATCTCTTACATTTTCTTCCCCAAGTAATACCCACAAAACTTTACCATTTTATTTTAAAAACAACATTGAAGACGAAAAGCAACAAATTTCTTCGATTAATTTCGAATCGACTTCCAAAGAAATCGAAAAAAATGATAGTTCTGAAACAATTTGTATAAGTGATGAAGAAATTAATTATTCTTCTATTTACTCAACACCTAAAACATCAAAAAAATCTCCTGATATAGTTAATGAAATAATTGAAAATCCAGTCGATTTAAATACACCGAAATTGATTCATAAGAGAATTACGGAACTCTCGAAAACTTTACCAAGAAAAATTGATGAAAATTGTTCCTCAACGCCTGATAATGTTGTTATTAAAACTAGAAATATAACGCCTATGCCCAATTACGATCGAATGAATACGCCAACGATAGCGGGGGAATTAGAAAAGGTTGGGGTGAAAAATTTAAAAAGACATCGTGGTGTTCAAATTTTAAAACATATCTATTATACAACACATCCGGTAGTTGAAAATGGTTCCGGACAAAACGATGATAGTGATGATGGTGATTATAGATCTGTTAAAAGAAGAAAAAGTGAATGTGATTTTAATAATGTTGTAAATGAGGATTTAACGGTTTTGAGTCAAAATGGTTTGGATAAAAAATGTGATGGGGTGGAATGTAATGAAGGAGATGGGGAAATTGAAATTGTTGGTGATATTCCAGAAAGGTGAGATTTAGAATATAATTTTACTAATATAGTTTTTAATTTCATTTTAAGACAAAAATCGCTTTTAATTTTTTAACCTTTTTAATGGATACATCTCGTGAACACATTCGATTTTAATGTTTTAATTTTTTAACCCGTTTAAATTTTAATATGTAGTGATTGTTATTTGCATCGTAATGTCGACTTTCAGCATTTTCACTCTTTAATTTTTTGTTGTCGTTCCTGAAGACTTTCTCATCGAAGCAAAATGATCATGACATTTATTTAATTATATTCTGTTTTTTTCTATAAGTTTTTTGCAAACAATTGCAAGTATCGATCACTGAAAACCTTTCCTAAAATCGGGCTGCAGCACTGATTGATATACATAAATCTATCTTTACTGTAATTCTGTCTTTGTAGAGGTGTTGTAGAGGTTCCCTTCGTGTATACAGGTGTCCCGTTGAGCGTACGGAGCGGCTGTATCTCAACAAAGGTAAGGCCTAGAGGTGTGGGAAAAAAATCCTTATAAGCAAAGTGGGCAAGAGAAATAGCTGGAAATTATTTTGAAGTTCGTAATTCGACCGCTAGGGGNCTCCGACCCTCAAAAGAATCGCCGATTCAAGAACCTCCTCTCCTCATCGAACCTCCTCTGACCCCCAAAAAATTTGCCGATTCAAGAACCTCCTCCTAGAACGCAGGTTCGAGGAGGAGGTTCTTGAATCGGCGAATCTATACTACTGACAAAGTTCGTAGTAGAACTTGCGGAATATTTAACAAAAGCTATCAACATTTACTTCAGATGGCAAAAAATTGGTAGTAGAAACAAGTTACAATAAATGTACGAAATGGTGGCCGTTTGCATTCAAGCACTGTGTTATACGTGAATATAAGTGTTGGTCTTCGTACTTTTTGAGGAGTTCTTGGGATACTTCCTGGGTGCACTGAGCCGAAGCTCCATCCAGTTGATACCAACAGCTTGTTCAAAGTAGAGTTCTAAGTTCAAAGACAAGTTGTCAGAAAATCTTCAACCACAGTACGTAACAAATTCAAGTAACGCTCTGCCGTTAAAACACCATCATAAATAACGTAAGAGAACCTGCCGTCCATCATAAAGCAGAAAACGTTGAAACTATACCTGATAGTTTTTTTTTCGGATTGCATGCGGGTTGGGTTGGGTTGCTCAAATATGGTTGTTATGCCTGTTAAAGATACATTCGCGCGAAAACTTAGATTCGTTTCATATAACGTTTTTCAAAAAGTTTGGCAAACATCAAACAATGTAAATCAGACTTTGACGTTTGTCAATAACTCATTAAACATTTGTTTTCCATGGCACACTAGGTTAATATCAATAAGATATGTGTGCATTTTTCAAACGTAAAGTGACCAAACGTTCTAGACTGCCGTTCTCGGTACCAAAACATATTCCATCATGTTGCTTAAGCATGTTCTGAATCCTAAATTGATATCCCAAAAATCGAGTGCTCTCTGATTTATTGAACAAATGTCTGCTAGAGCAAATTTTTTAGAAAAAATTGAATAATTCGAGAACGGCCGAATCAAATTGCAAAAAATAAAGTTATTCATAAACCTTAAAAATAGACAAATTCAAATATAGAATACACATACATTACATTTTAAATGACAGTACAAAAATGTACAGCACTTGGGGTAAACCCTGTATGCATATTTTCACAAAAATAGTGCCAGTATGCCATATACAAATAGACTCAGCTCGTCGTGACAGACCCTGTACAGTTGTTCCATTTAAAAAATAAAGTAGCTGGCAACTTCCGGTATAACCGGCGGAACTGCTAGAAATCTGAAAATATTTTAGTCGAAGAGAACGCAATTGATAACATTTAAATCTGAATTCTCAAATTTTTATTTTGGCCAGAACCCCAAAAACGTCTAATGAATGGTCTCGCTGAGATACCGTGTATTATAAGTATGACCGCGGCGTTCTTCCATGTTTCCCTTCTAACAGGAATTTGTTCAAAAACAATTTTAGGGCTTCCTCAAGGGTGTTGCGTTCAATTTTTAACATTTTCCAAGTTATAGAATCCTCACCGGAAGCTTGTTCTTCTTCAGTTGTCAAAGGGCATGTCTAATCTCGGATATCGATATTTCGGGAAGGTCCTCCGAACCAACGTTTAGAACCTTTCTAGTCGCAGTTTCCGGTTTTGGTATGGCAGTCTTTCTCTGGTTATATTCCCATTATGATCCTTTATTTTCGTTATCTTTGACTAAATTTGACCTTAGTGTTTTCATCTTCTTGTTATTTTCACAGTTTCTAAGATTTGTTTTGTTTGGTATGCTCTTAGATTTACTACTAATACTTTTGTACACATGTGTCGTTCTGTTTTATGTAGTTTCTTATGTCATTATTCATTAGTTATTTTGAACGTTTATATCTTTGGTGTTTAGTGCTGCTAGGGGTTCTCCATTTTTCTTTAGCTCTTTTTGGTGTGATTCTTTGTTGAGTTCGGGTACCTCCATTGTTGGGAGTTTGGTTTCAGTTAAGAGTTTCATTCTTTGTAGTTCTATACTTATTTCTTAGTTCTGTACTTTCTGTCATTAGAGACTGAAATGTCTGACTCGTTCTTCTTTTTATAACTTCTTTTCGTCGCATATCATTTCTGCTTGCTGGAACAAGGCTTAGATCACTAACCTCTTCTGTTATGGTTGGTCATGGAACGAAGCCTGTAGACCTGTTCACGTGTTTTCTTCCGATACACTTTTAGTTCCATGCACCCATCCTAGTGACCAAAACATCCAATAAAAAAACTGTTTAACATTTTCCGTTCCTATGGTAAATTTGATCATGGTGAGTTCGAGTTCAGGTGGTCTAGGAACTCCTGAAGATGCTCTTTTCCATGAAACCAGATCACTAAGGTATCATCCACGTAACAAGGCCATAGCTTTGGTTTTCACGGATTCCACTTTAACGCTTCTTCTTCAAACTCTCCATGTAGAAATTGGCGATAACCGGTGACAAAGGTGATCCTATGGAATTTTCCCTTTCAGTTAAAATATGTCGATGATAAACAATTCCACTAACTCTGGAATTTCAGTAAGCCCTCAGGAATGAGTTTCTGACGAAGACCATCCAGGGCATTTTTACTGGAACTCTGGTAAGTAGAGATTCCACATCGAAACTTACCAGGATATCTAACTTCATATTTTTGATTATATTCCACAAAATTACATATTATGTTTTTACCTGTAAAAGGAGACAGGATCTTGAGAAGATGCTTCGCCAGATGGTACGACGGTACGACATCCAGTTTATGGATTTTAGGTAATCCACAAATTCTTGGTGGTATTGGGGACCTGTACAAGCAAACTTTTCTATTGATCCGCTAGAATTTCTGTAGATTTCATCTTCTTGATTTGCTTGTAAGTGGTTGGATCCAAAAGGCTCGTCATCATGTCGTCGTATTATTTTCTGTCCATGACCACGATGAAATCAAAAAAATTGTATAACTAGAAGCACAAATAAACACCAAGAGTTGAAGCCAGCGTTCGATGTGTTTTGTTTACGTTTTCACTCAGTCCAGAACGGGACGCGCTCAGATCTGACCGTCCAGCCGACGATCACTGAGTATTTCCGAACAGGCCAATCTTTTTATGGTTCCTTTGAAAATAAATTTACCTGATTAATGTTTATCCATGTTTACCGAACCCTAATACATGAATAATTCTTTCCTAAGTAAACAAGGTTTGTGTGCGCATTTGTGTTTTGGCTTTGGCGAAGTTAACATTTTAGTAGTTCCGTAGTTTGCAGACTATAAGACGCATCTTTTTACATAGATGGACTCAATTTAGGGTGCGTTTTACGGTCCGAAGAAGGTACCATAAATAATAAAATAATAAAATATATTTTTCAATAAATCGTCTCTAAATTTGAGGTACGTCTTATAGTCCGAAAAATACAGTATATTTTTCTGAAAAAGATTTTATTCAAAATGATTTCAGTTTTCCTAAAGATAGAAAAAAATATATATTTAACTATAAATTGTCACAAAACTATTTAAGGATTTTTTTAGTGCAGTTAGGCGACGTTGTGGGTATTGTAACAATCATACTGCACTACAATTTGAACAAGAATACAAAAAAACAAAATACAAAAAAGGGGCAGAAATAAATATTTGAAATTGTTCATCAATACTCAAAAATAAAAATGATGGAATTGAAACACTGGACATTATAGACGTTGCGAACTTAGACAACATGCATTTAACTACCTAACTACTATTTTCTAAAAACTAATATTACTTGTCAATTTTGTTTAAATATAGTAGAAGGAACTAGTAATATTTCAATGCTACGGATCCAAAAGACATATGGGATTTATGACTAAAACTTCTGAGTTTGTAGTCAAACTTTACTTAATTAAAGAAAAAATTATTAGAGACTATAACGACAAAATGTATTATTCAATAACAAGAAACATACTTTTAATGTTAAGTAATTCCATTTTATTAAGTTTACCTCAAAACATTTATGATCTTTTTGGAGATCATGTGTATGATGATGCATGTTATTGATGGGCATGAAATACAATGTATAAAGTTAATAACAAAATTTATTAACGTAAAGTTATTTAATGAAACCAAGTTAATAAATCAAGAAACTAGGCTTTGACATATGTTAAGCAAACAAATATTATTTTCAAATCAATGAAAGTTATTTTAAAACTTATATTTATGAGTTAAGTTTTAAGTTTTTTGTTATGCAATGAAAATTTGTAAACAAAATACCAATGTTATTTGCAAATACAATATTTTTACTGCAGTATTTACCATGAAAGTACTGTAAAATTCTAATTATATCATCTTTAATTTATTTGTAAGAAATAAACTTCACAATTTATACGGTTACAATTATAAATTAATTCATTACAAAAGAACTCAAAGTTTACAGTCCTTAATAAACATTTCAACCATGCTCAATAAAAAAAAATAATGATAATATACATTTACAAGTCTGATTTTACCGAAACTATACACGCCACTGTCAGTGGGACCAATACCAAAACAAACACTCGAACGTTGGCTTCAATCTCGTATACGGGCGGAGATAGGCAATGCTGCTTCTAGTTATACAATTTCTTTGGGTGAAGTTCCCTTTGTCTGCTAGGTGTGCTGGTAGAACGGTGATGGCGGTGATTCGTTGTTAGATTTTATTTTGATGGCTTCGCCGATTTAAGTACTCTCGCTATATCTTGTCAGATTTCCTCTGTTTTCACTGCAGGTATTCTCTGAATAGCCGCTTCTATTTCGCAGATGATTTCTTCCGTCGGAACCCTCTTTGAAGTGATTGCGCGTAATTCAATCCTTTGACGAGTACTGTAGTTAATCGGGCGCTTGATCGGTTAATGACGAATTTCGATTGGAAAATCGTTGTTTTCCTTTTTTGGGTACGGCAATCCAACCGAAATTTCTTAATATGTTTGGCACGGCTTCTCTAGAATTCGCGTACCACCTTCTCCATGGTTATTCTGTCTATCTTGTCGCAGTCTTTTCTAGCTATAAAATCGAAAAGTGCGAGATAGAGTCGTAGTAACTTCTCCCCTATTTGCTGTAGATCTTTCAAAGTCTTGTGAATTCTTTCACGTAGTAGTGCTTGTTATTAAACTTCTTGATTTGTTTGTTTATATATTAAGGTTTTCGTACTTATATTAAACAAAATAATTAATAATAAGTGGTCTAACAATATCTTCTAATATTTAGAAAATCCAAATCGTTTCTTCTATGTGAAATAATAACCTATCTAAAATAAATATGTTTTAAGGTCAAGGCAAATTATTAAACATAAATTATTTCGTGTTGTTTTCATAAACAACAATTTGTACAATCTCCATATAAGAGATAATATTTTTTACATTCACCCAACTTATCAATAATTTAATTTTTTTGTTTTTATATTAGCAATGAACTAATATTTGAAAGAAAACCATCAAAGAAGATATATTCTTGTGCCTTACCATTGCATATTGCGTGGTTTAATTTTCTTACATCAAACCCAGAAATAAAAGAAAATGTGCTATTATATGTCCCCCTTCAATTAGAAGTTTTATATGAAATGATGAAACAGGAAGGGTTCAAATATCACATTCAGGTAATGTTTAAGATAACATTTCAAGATGAATAAACAAACTGATATTGATGTATTTGCAGGATCTCCTCACGTTTTTAGATAAGAAATGTATCACGATAAGAACAAATCCACAAGGTGGACAGAAACAACATCCAAGGAAAAACAAGGATTAAATGTAGTAAGTGATGATTTTCAATAATTTATTTATTTACTTTAGTTGTATTCTAACATTTCTAAATTTTATACTAAACTATTACAAATCACCCATATCCTAAACATTTCAGTATCACACCTTCATTTTTCTTTTTTTAATATTTATCATATTACTCAGATTTTTTTTGTTGCTTAATTTTATAATCAGACAACGCCGCTTTAATAGCATCCTCAGCCAACATAGAACAATGCAATTTCACCGGGGGTAAACACAATTCTTTAGCAATATCAGTATTTCTCAATTTCAAAGCTTGATCGACGGTTTTTCCTTTAACCCATTCTGTTGCTAATGAGCTACTTGCTATAGCTGATCCACAACCGAAAGTTTTGAATTTTGCATCAATAATCTTCCCATTGGCATCAACTTTAATTTGTAACTTCATTACATCTCCGCATGCAGGTGCCCCAACCAATCCTGTACCTACATTGGTATCGGCTTTATCCATCGAACCAACATTTCGTGGGTTTTCATAGTGATCAATCACTTTTGGGTGATAAGAAGCGGTCGCTATTTTTATGGGGCTCTGTGCTACCTTTAAGAGCTTGCCCGTAACGGCGTTTAACGCCATTTTAATTTTTTGAGGTTTTTCGCAAGGTTTCTATGAAGAATTAGAAATAATTGATATAAAATGAGTTCGTTGCACAATATTTTGTAAAATACTTACAATTTGATGCGCAATTTACCACTAAAAAGAAACGACTGGATACAAACGTCAATGATTGACGTTTAAGATCACATTTTTATTGAGTGGTGTGAGTTTATTTCATCGCAAATAGATGGCGCTAGTATTGTGACATATCATGCATGATTAAAGTTATTGCATCAATATTTAAAGGGATTTTATGCTAGAAATATGAATATTTTTGGTAATACTAATAAATTATTATATTATTTATAAACATTGATGCAATTTCCAGTTAAAAAGAAACGACTGGATACAAACGTGAATGATTGACGTTTAAGAGCCCACTTTACCAGGTCGGTCAGTTTCTGAGGGGCGCAGACGACGGACGTTCGGAAGCAACGAGGCGGAGTTTATTTTCTACTAGGCCCGACCCTTTATAGATAAAAAAAACATCGTGTTTATTTTATTACGATTCTTTTTCTCGTCGATGTTGTTAATGAAGAAATTAAACGACTTCTTCTAAATATTATTGTTTATTAACAATTTTTCTTAATTACGAATTACAATCAATCTTTTTATTGACTTTCCAATTTATTTATTATTTTAGTTATTATTTTGATTTTTTATTAATAATCGTAGTCGTAGCCCACCTTTTTACTACGTTTGTTTTTTTAAGTATTTTGGTTCACAACAATTTACATTACGCAAATATCAGTTTTTTAATGCTTTTTTTCGATATGAATAGAATATTAATTTTTTAATAGAGAAATTAGAGAAAGAAGTTGAGAACATCTAAGATTATGGGTTTATAATTCAATTGAATGTAAGGCAAAAATCAATTTCAAATGCAATAAATAATTTTGCGAGGCATAAAACATTTATATCATTTTGAAACGAAAATAACATTTATAACTTCATTTTATATTAAAATAGATATATTTGCAATACAGGGAATGTGAAAAGTTCGGTACAACATTTATAAATTATATCTTTGTTGTATTATTATGCGTTCGTTTGATATACAGGTGTCTCAGAGTAACCGTGTAAGTAATTTTATTTGAAAACACAGGTAGTTACAAAAATTAAAGAAAAAATAGCTGAATAAATGTGGTTCCTTTATGAATATTATTACTTTTCATTCGAACTTTTTTAATATTTCTGTTTAAAAAAATGGACTGCATGGTCTGCATCACCTTGTATAAGTAAATGAAATAATATGTAATACCTAATTAATAATAATATTAAATAATGATTCAAGTATACAAAATATGGCTAATAGTGTAATAAATAAAACAGCCCTGACTAGAAAAATCTTTAGGAAATTTTAATTTGCCATCGTTGAATAGATGTAAGCTCTTGAAATTCGCTGGACACTTCACCTCGACGATGGCATTTTCGTTTTTTATTGTTTCATTTGGACTTGCAACTAAGAATCCATACATCCTACGGATGAATAGAGCTCAAAAGTTTGCTGGCAAGTTATATTTACTTTCAAATTTTTTTAATGCAAGCCATTCATAGTCTTAGCCATGTTAGTGCTATTATTTCTAGCAAATTTCGAGTACAAGATTGATTTAACTTTATTTAAGCAAGACGTGTCATTTCTCATCCTACATACATCACCAAATCTCGATGCAGTTAGGCACAGATACCTTTCTTGGATCCATATCTGATTGGTACTTTAGCTTCTGGTAAGAATTTGTATTTTATTTCTGTTAATGCATCCATCTTGCAAGTTTCCAATAAATTCTTCTTTCTTTTATATTCTTCGTGTGAAATGTCACTCATAAATTATAACCGAATTGCTATCATTACCCTGATCGGCTTTCGCTACCTACCTGAATTACCCTGTATACACGAGTATTTTATTTTATTGTATACAATTATTTTATAGCAGTACCACTCCGGATGATGCATCGTAATTGATGTTGTTCGAGCGTTTAGCGTTTACAGTCTTTATTCAGTCTTTATTTACTTTTCCTGAAGCTGTAACTAAATTAATTCTTCTTTACCTGCGTTCTTCATAAACTGCTATGCCATGTCACTTGCGGTTTCTTGATATTTTTGGAATGTTTTTGTTAACATAAATAACAAACACATAACAATAATTCTTCAGCCTGTGTATATCCGGTACCGACAGATAACAGAAACAACAGCAGAGTTTATCTCAATAGACTCTTTGCTTTCTTCAGTGTAAGCTTCTTTTTTATCCCGCACATAAAACATAAAAGAAATGAGCTGCTAAGCCCTGCTTTTGACTCATTAATAAATTTAATGCGAGTTTTGTTGCAGTTGAATGAATTATTCTCCACCATCAGTATTTGGTTCTGCATCATTTGTATTATTTATCTTATGGTATCGCTTCAAATAATGTATCGTTTTAATTTTTACTGTGATGGTTTATTCTTTTTAAATAAGTCCTTTTTATGTGTGCCACAGTTTATACAATAAAATTAATAAAATTTAACTTACCTTTCGGAATGAATACATTTTTCAATTGAATCTCGGACTATAAAATATGAAATTTTAGATTTTATAAAAATTTATATCGTAAATTATTACCGTCTATTACTCCTTTTTCGAGAACATCTTCAAATGCTAAGGGGTAGTTTTTTAGATGAACATACTTACCCATTGTTTATAAAAACTTTACACAAACTAAATTAAACTAACACTATAGTACACAATAAAATAACAACTATTGACTATAAATTCAAAAATTTTGTTAAATTACACAATCATTAGTAGAAAATCACGGAAAATAAAGTTCAAAACGTACTTTTGGAAATGATTATTTTCTCTACCACATTAAAAAGTAATAGATAAAACAAGGAGCTTCGATGAAGAGAGTCGATGTCAGCGCCGCTCAGTCGGCAGGAGGCGGGACTAACGCGGTGGTAATACTTCGTGGGAATCTTGACGGAAAATATTCATTTTTACGCTACCTTATTGCAATTTTAGCAAATTACAAACTATTCCTTTATAACTAAAAATTTTGAAAAAATTTATTTGAAAAATGTTACTATTTTCAAGTATACTATCATGCAAGCTAAAAAAGAACGACCAAATTCTATAATATTGAGGAAAAAAACCCCTTTTTTTGGAAAACTTTAAAAATTTTCACCATGCGTTATGTAGAATTGTTAGAAGAAGCTATGTACAAAATTTCATCCAAATATTTTCATAAATAATGTATGTTTTTTGTAATTTGCCGAGCTGTATGGTAAAGTAGCCTCTTAAGATTACACTTTTATTGAGTGATGTGTGTTTGTCTTTATCGCCGATAGATGGCGTTAAAGTTGTAACATATGCATTATTAAAGTTACATCAACATTTGAAGCGATTTTATTCTAAAAATATGAATATTTTTGGTAATATTAATAAATGATTGTATTATTTATAAATATTGATGTCATTTGCTGCTAAAAAGAAACGACTGGATACAAACGTGAATGATTGACGTTTAAGATCACATTTTTATTGAGTGGTGTGAGTTTGTTTTTATCGCGGATAGATGGCGCTAAAGTTGCGACATTGAATTCGTGTGTGAAGTTATTACATCAACATTTGGATTTTATTCTAAAAATATGAATATTTTTGGTAATATTAATAAATTATTATCTTTATTTATAAATATTGATACAATTTTCCGCTAAAAAGAAATTGGATACAAAAATAAATAATTGACGTTTAAGATCACATTTTTATTGAGTAGTGTGTTTGTTTTTATCGCGGATAGATGGCGCTAAAGTTGCGATATTGAATGTTTTGTAAACTTATTACATTAAAATGTAATGGAATTTATTCTAAAAATATGAATATTTTTGGTAATATTAATAAATTATTACATTATTTATAAATATTGATGTAATATGCCACTAAAAAGAAACTATTAGATACAACGTTTAAGATCACATTTGTATTGATAGTGTGAGATTGTTTTTATCGCTGATAGATGGCACTAAAGTTATGACATTGAATTCGTTTGTAAAGTTATTACATTAAAATTTAATTGAATTTATTATAAAAATACGAATATTTTTGGTAAATTAATAAATTATTATATTTATTTACAAATATTAATGTAATTTGTCGTTAAAAAGGAACGACTGGTTACAAACGTTAATGAGTGAGTTTGTTTCTATCGCGGATAGATGGCGCTAAAGTTGCGAAATTGAGTGCGTTTGTAAAGTTATTAGAGGTTATTAGTAGTTATTAGTTATTACATTAACAATTAAAGGGATTTTATTCTAAAAATATAAATATTTTTGCTACTATTAATAAATTATTGTATTTATGTATAAATATTGATGTAATTTTAAATTGGGATGTAATGCAGGGTACGTTCCAAAATAGTTTATTTTTTTTATCAACAAAAAACAAACCTGTCGTTTTATAATACAATTTAATAACAATCAAAATTTATCAACATTTGTGTAATCATTCATAACAAAGATTAGATTGCGAAACGTTTTTTTATAAACTAATCTGATAATAAATACCTAGTCATTTACATTTTTAAACTATTTTAGCTAACTTCGCTCATCTTTACGGAAATACCAGGTTAAAAAAAAATGACATTTATTAACTAAACGTCATAGAAATGTCAAGATTTGGTAAAATCGCGTAAAAATTCGTAAAATTTTCGTTTACGAATTAATAAATACGTTCAGTGCGTAACTTTCCGTGCGTTTCGTGTGTTATCTATGTGTTAAACCCTATTAACACGTCACAAATTGTTTATACCTACCGGGCAAGTACTTGTGAATCGAATCCAGTACCGGATAAAAATTCGCGATGTTTTTTTCATACACAAAATAGAATATTTCGTTTGATAAAGAGTGTAATAATTAAGTTTAAATGTCGCGAATTGTCGTTGTAACGATTCTAATCGTTATATTTGAGTCTTGTTTGGTTTTTGGATACCCCCCGGAGAATAAAGCGGAAAATGTCGCAAATGATGAAGTAATAAGTAAAACTAAAACGGGAAATAACACGGTCGTTTATGAAATTAAACCTAGCAAGACAGGAAATGATGTTAAAATTAATGTAACTGGTGTAATTACTCCTGAGGTTAAAGATGATCAAAAACAACCCCAAAATCAAACGATATCAGAAAAAACAATTTCCATTATTAATCCGAATAATCTTCCTGCACTTAATGAACCAGCTTTACACAGACTCTTTTATGTCCTCCTAGGGTTAAGTACAGTTACTGTTTGTTATGTTGCTATGAAAATGTATAGGTAAATCATAATTTTTTTATTTAAATAATTTTCTTTTGGATATTTATTTAATAAGAAATAAATTTTAGGGTAAGAAAAGGTGTTACTAGACCTACACATGTTAGAAAATACGGTGTACTTGCTCAAAGGAGTGATATAGAAATGGAACCTCTTCACCTCGACGATGATGAGGATGACGATACTGTTTTTGATGTTGGAGCTCATGCAAACAGGTGATTAACATGGAAAGGTTTTGTTGTGATCTGAGTGATGTACTTAGAAGACTGATTCAATTGATGTGAACTGTTAACTTGGAAGAGGACAACTTATAACATAAAAATAAATTGAAAAATATTGATACTTTTCTATTTATGAAAATTGTTAATTAAGTGATACATAAAAATATATCTTAATATTTTAATTTATTTATAATTTATTTAATAATAATTTTGAATACATTGGAGATTGTCTGGGATCTGATGTACATGTTGCTATTCCATCCATTGGGGGTTCACCAACAAATAAATCCATAAACAATTCATTTTTCATTTCAGGATTAAAACAGTATTGATCAAAATTTGTAACTCCTCTCTTAAGAAGCAATTCATCATCAATAAAGAAGTTTCCTGTAGTTGTTTTTGGATCAGAGGTTAAAATTGCATAGGCAGCATCAGCCATAATTTCAGGTTTTCTTGATTGATTTATCATTACATCTCCACCCAACATATTAGTAGCTGCTGTACCCACAGCTAAAAATGTATTGCATTAAAAACTTTGATATTTCTTATAAGTAAGAATGCTTCTATGGTCAGTATTAATTAAGGTATGTACATTTAGAACAAGAAACCTAAATGTGCCAAAAGTCTAATGTTAGTTGTAGTTTTAGTTCAATAAAAATATACAACAACCTGGCGCTAAATAATAACTAAAACTAGAATTAACGTTGTCGCTAGAACTAACACTAGACCTAGAACTAGAAATAGAGTAAGAAACTAGGTTTGAAAAGAGATAGAAAACATTCCAATTTAAATGTCCTGACCAAGGTCTGTAAAGCGTGTTGTACTAGGTTGGCCAGACGAAAGATTTCAACGTATGAAACGTATACACCTCCCTGACATGCCCTAATCGTGACGTCACGTGTTACAGACGCTGATGTTTTAAGAGAGAAGTATTCTATTAAAGTATATAAATTATGTTATTATATAATAAAAAAAGAAAAATACCTAATTTTCATAATCAGAGTGTTTAATTAGAGAAAGCAGTATATTTGAGATAAATTACTTCGTTTCAGTCTTTAGCTTCCTTTCTCTTCAAAACGCGTTCTGCTGTCTCTGGCCAACCTGGTACAATGCGCTTATGCGTTCAAGGTCATAAAAAATGGCAGCCCTGCATCAAAGGTGCCGACACGAAACGTTGCATCTTGTTTACTCTTTAATCTTTGTTCTAGGTCTAATGTTAGTTCTAGGTATATATTAATATACCTATAATAGTTCTAGGTATAGTGTTAGTTCTACATAGTAACAGTGCTAGTATAAAACTAGAACTACCTACATTTCATTGTTACACAACGCTAGATTATTGTATATTTTTATTGCACTAAAACTGGAACTAACACTAGACCTAAAACTAGTAACATACCATTTAGGCGTACGGCTCTTAAGACGGCTAAACCTGAATGTTTCTACTTCTAGGTCTAATGTTAGTTCTAGTGGCAGTGGTAGGTAGCACTAGTTAGCTTAAGATATCACTATGTTGCATATTTTTATTGCACTAAAACTAGAACTAACACTCCCCGAGAAACCCGAATGATTCTAGTTTTAGGTTTAGTGTTAGTTCTAGTTATACACTATCACTAGCACTAACGCAAGACCTAGAACTAGAATCATTCGGGTTTAGCCGTCTTGAGAGACGTGCCGCTAAACCCGAATGTTTCTAGGTCTAATGTTAGTTCTAGTGGCAGTGGTAAGTAGTGCTCAAAACATAAGATTTCACTAAGTTGCATATTTTTATTGCACCAAAACTAGAACTAACACTAGATCTAGAACTAGAAAATATCGGGTTTAGCCGTGCGTCCTCAGACGCACGGCTAAATCCGAATGTTTCTAGTTCTAGGTCTAGTGTTAGTTCTAGTTTTATACTAGAATTAACACAATACTTAGAAGTAGAATCATTCGGATTTAGCTGTCTTATGAGATGCACGGCTAAACCCGAATGTTTCTAGTTCTAGGTGTAATGGGTGATATGAATAAAGGAGAGTAAAACCTTATACTCGCAAAATTTCGAGCATTTGCTACATATTTTATGAATAAAAATGTAAGTAAAAGCTTTTACTCAACACTTTCCTCTGAGCATGAGCATCTACTTACTTTTAAGCATATGCTCCGATTGATATGAATAAAACGGAGGTTTTGCTTCACATTTTGAGCATATGCTCGATAAAATGTGCATCTAGTTCAGTACTAGATGCACCCTTTCAGTGGTCGGTAATAATGGCAGAGTTTATTAATTTACGGGCAGAAAAACATTACAAAGTACGAAGAGGAGCTGATAACCGAGATTTTAAATCACTTTACCGGTTTGAGGAAGAAAATTTGCATTACATTGCAACACACTTTATGTGCGAGAACAACGAAAGAAGAGGAGGTGCTCTTTCGTCGGACCTTAAAATTAAGATATTTTTACGGTATATGGCCAATCCTGGTTTCCAAACTGGTGTTGCTGAAGAATTGGGAATTCATCAGTCGACAGTATCAAAAACAATTACGTTCGTGATTAACAAAATACTCGAAAAAGCTCCTTTATGGATCAAATTTCCGTCAACGTTGAACCAAGTAAACGAAGCACAGGAGAGGTGGCAGGAGACATTTCAATTTCCATGTGCGATAGGCGTAATTGATTGCACACACGTTCAAATATTGAAACCTATCCATCACGGTGATGAATACATCAACAGAAAGGGGTTGGCGACTTTAAATGTGCAAGCAACGTGCAACTCCAAAGAAATCTTTACTAGTGTTGATGCAAGTTGGCCGGGTTCTGTGCATGACGCTAGAATTTGGAGAAATTCTGAAACACGTTTGATTATGCAACAATTCCCTGGTGCAATATTATTAGGAGATGACGGTTATGGTTTGGAACCGTGGCTAATGACACCATTTCGGAACCCAAATAACGAATCTGAAAGAACTTACAACAGATTGTTTAAGAAAGAAAGGGTGATTATCGAAAGATGTTTCGGCCAACTTAAGCGAAGATTTCCAATTCTAAAATATATGTGCCGTGTTAAATTGGAAAGAGTCCCTTCCGTTATTGTTTGTTGCATTGTACTACACAACATTGCCAAATATTTAGGAGATGCAGATTTTCCAGATGATGATGATGAAGAAAATCTCAATAACGGCGAAGAATATGAATTAGAAGAAGATCGTCTTCTTCAGCGTGCAAGAGAGCGAAGACTTGAAATAGCTGATGTTATCTTTACACAGAATTTGAGGTAGAAGTTTGTGTATTATAAGAGTTTGAAATAATTAAAATAAAAAACATATATATTGATATTTTTATTAAATACTTATGCTTTACAAATTTAAATATACAAAAAAATATTTTTATGCGCCGTACAACAATAACAAAAATAAAATGCTTCTGGTACAAATTATAACCCTTAAGAATGTAATGTTTTATTTATGTTAAATAAAGAGAAAATTCTTAGTATGAAATGTTTTTTTTAATTCCTACAATAACTCAGAAAAAAAACGTGTTATATGAAATAAAGATAAAATTCTTGTATGGCAAGTCTTTTTCCTACAATAGCCCTTAAGAAAAATCATTTTATAAAAATAACAAATATCCCTTAACAAAAAACATGTTTTGTAAATGTAATCTTTGCATGGAATCATATCATATTGTTAGTACCAAAGTATCTATCTAAACCAAATTTATTATTTCTTTAAAGCACTGCGTACCTAGGTACATCATTATCGTTTTCGTTTCCATCAGGCTCATAATAAGAGCGACCGGTATTGGATTTTTGCATCATTTCTCGATAATACTGCCTTTGAACACGAGTGGTCTCCAATTGTTCGATAAGTACCAATCGTTGCAATTCCTGAGTAGTGAGTTTGGAAGTTTCTTCTGTTTCATATGTTTCTAAATTCTTCTTCGTTTGATGTTTTGTAGGTCGAGGTGGCACAAGGGAAGCTATTTGGGGCCTAAATTCATCCGTCTGCTCAGACTCAAGCAATATAGAAGATGATAAATCTTCGTTGTTTTTGTTTATTTTGGTGGTAGGAGGTCCAATACTTTTTGCTCCTATAATAAAAACGGAACATATTTAGCCATTAGTTTAAAATTATGAATGAAAATAACTACCTATTTCATATTTCGTACAAATTTTTAGTGTTTCAAAGAGCCATTTTTTATACATCTAGTTAGGTAAGTTATGTAAAGAATTAACTTTAACAAAGTTTTATGAATATATACGCGATACATATATTTGTATAATATAAACAGGTTAAATAAAATACATACTTACCAGGAATTTTGCTTATAGTCGGATTATCCTCTCCATCCATTAATTCGTGCAAAATTTTTTCCCACTGGCATAAAACGATTTTTTTATTCCCGGTTTTGTTTTTGTCCACTTTGCTTTTTAGCCTCGTTTTCATATTGTTTACTTTTTTCATCAATTGAGAAGAGGTTAATGGTTTTCCCAATTGACGTTCTAGCTCAAGAACTGATTGCCTCAAGGCTTCATCTTTCAATGTTTTTTTCTGCGGAATTTGTGTTTTCCATAGAATTTCCGGCCTTTTTTGCAACTGCAATGCTACTAGCAAATTGTTGCTTGATACATCGTCACCATTTTCTTCTGCCGACATTGTTGTCTTACAAATTACTGGTTTATACAAAGCATTAAACTTCTAAGGGTATAATTCAGTATGTTAGGTTAGGTAAATAAACACAAACATCAAATACTAAGAGCGTAAGTATAACAACTGCGGCACCGATTTATACAAGTCACGACGAGTTAGACGAGCAAATCCTCATTTGATCTAAGCAGATGCTCATAAGTAAAAGCAAATCATTATTCATACAAATCGGAGCAAATGCTTATACTCGGACCTTTTACTTTCAGCATAAGCTTATAGCTGTTGCTTATACTTAAGAGCATTTGCTCGCTTTTCATTCATACCACCCAATGTTAGTTCTACATAGTAACAGTGCTAGTGTAAAACTAAAAGTAACACAAGACCTAGAAGTAGAATCATTCGGATTTAGCTGTCTTATGAGACGCACGGCTAAACCAGAACATTTCTAGTTCTAGGTTTAATGTTAGTTCTAGTGACAGTGCAAGTGTAAAACTAGAACTAACACTATACCTAGAACTAGAATCATTCAGGTTTAGCCTTCTTTAGAGACGTTCGGGTATAGTGTTAGTTCTACATAGTAACAGTGCTAGTATAAAACTAGAACTGCCTTGATTTAATTATTACACAACGCTAGATTATTGTATATTTTTATTGCACTAAAACTGGAACTAACACTAGAGCTAAAACTAGTAACATGCCATTTAGCCGTACAGCTCTTAAGACGGCTAAACCTGAATGTTTCTACTTCTAGGTCTAATGTTAGTTCTAGTGGCAGTGGTAAGTAGCATTAGTTAGCTTAAGATATCACTATGTTGCATATTTTTATTGCACTATAACTAGAACTAACACTCCTCGCGAAACCCGAATGGTTGTAGGTTTAGGTCTAGTGTTAGTTCTAGTTTTACACTAGCACTATCACTGGAACTAACACAAGATGTAGAACTAGAATCATTCCGTTTAACCGTGCGTCTCTTAAGACGGCTAAACCTGAATGATTCTAGTTCTAGGTCTTGTGTTAATTCTAGTTTTAGACTTGCACTGTCACTAGAACTAATACTACAACTAGAAACATTCTGTTTAGCCGTGCGTCTTTTCAGGCGGCTAGACCTGAATGTTTTTACTTCTAGGTCTAATGTTAGTTCTAGTGACAGTGATAGGTAGCGCTAGTTAGCATAAGATATCTCTATGTTGCATGTTTTTATTGCACTAAAACTAGACCTATGGGTAAACCCCATACTTTTTAGTTTTAGGTGTAGTGTTAGTTCTAGTTTTACACTAGCACTAGCAGTAGAACTAACACAAGACCTAGAAGTAGAGTCGCTTCTAGGCGAATCTAGAATCATTTGGGTTTAGCCGAACGTCACTAAAGACGGCTAAACCCGAATGTTTCTAGTTCTAGGTCTAATGTTAGTTCTAGTGACAGTGCAAGTGCAAAACTAGAACTAGAATCATTCGGGTTTAGCCGTCTTTAGAGACGTTCGGCTAAACCTAAATGATTCTATAATAGTTCTCGGTATAGTGTTAGTTCTACATAGTCACAGTGCTAGTGTAAAGCTAGAACTAACACTAGAAATAGATTTATTTGTTACACAACGCTAGATTATTGTATATTTTTATTGAGCGAAAACTAGAACTAATACTAGACCTAGAACTATAAACATTCCGTTTAGCCGTGCGTCTCTTCAGACGGCTAGACCTGAATGTTTCTACTTCTAGGTCTAATGTTAGTTCTAGTGACAGCGATAAGTAGCGCTAGTTAGTATAAGATATCTCTATGTTGCATGTTTTTATTGCACTAAAACTAGAACCTACGGCTAAAGCCGCAAGGATAAACCCCATACTTTCTAGTTTTAGGTGTAGTGTTAGTCCTAGTTTTACATTAGCACTATCACTAGAACTAACATAAGACCTGGAATGAGAATCATTCTGGTTTAGCCGTCTTGAGAGACTTGCGACTAAATCTGTATGTTTCTAGTTCTAGGTCTTGTGTTAGTTCATTAAAAATATAGAATAACCTGACGCTGAGTAACAACTAAAATTAGAATTAACACTGTCACTAGATAGTATTAGTTTTAGTGATTTATAGTCAGAGCTCGGGTAAAAATATTCAATAATATACTCCTGATTACATTTTGAAGTACCCGGTACCTACCTAACACATTGGAATCAATTGTACTCGGTATCCGGTTCGTCAAATACACTTAACATTAATTAACACTTAGTTAGTATCCGATACCCCCATCGCATATTCGAGTACATACATTATTCTCGGGTACTTGAGCTTGTCTGAATGGGTTTGTGTTTCTATCGCCTTATTAGTTATTGAACGGTTACATCACAACGTTCGGCGGGCGAGATCACCAATACAAATAACAGTGAGAAAAGGTTAAATGTTTTGCGGGGTGGTTTTACGTAACTATTATTATTGCGTGATGAACACAGACATTGATTGATTGTATCGTATCGTAAATTTGTTGCTTTTTGAGGTTAAAGGCGTTTTATTTTAAGGTAAGTAAGAGATTTATCTGGAATATGAAAATCTAGTACAACCTAATTTATAGATAGCAAATATGGCGAGAAATATTGTTTAAAGAGTAGATAATTTTAAGGCTGTTTTGAAACAAATTTAAACATTTGATTGAATTGCATTTCATTCATCTGATCTTCATGATCTTTATCTGCTGCATGTCTTGTTTTGTTTATTTCTAAATCTTGGGGTTCTTCTGTAACCAAGAATTCTTCCCAATGGAGTTCGCTATTAGTCTGATTTTTTGGCATTTTAAAATTGTATTTCTTTACTTATAAACAGGACCATGGAGATTTCAAGTGATACAGAACCAGATCCTTTCCATAATTCATCATAAAGTGATGAAGGCTATGTACCTAGGACTAAAAAACCATCCGTATCAGCCAAAATATCACACTATTTCAAAAATATTCAGCCTGCGACTTCTAGGGACACTGAAAGCATGTATTTCAATGTTTCCGATGTCGAAATAGTTGCTAGTCCCACTACTGCATCCACCTCTTTATCAACTATGATTGCAATAAGTAACATTGAAGAGTGCAAGAGCACCCTAATGCTGGACAGAACATTTTTCTTGATTGAAACGTGCGACAAGAATTCGCATGTCGAAGCTCTGCGTCAGTTTTGTCTTCCTTCAAAAAAGATTATTAAGGGCTCTGCCGAATGTACGATAAATTTTGTTAAGCACCTAAAAAGAATCCATGGAAACAAATCCTACGATGACTATCTCCAACACAAAGAGAAACTAAAAGAGCAAAAGCAAATTAAAGGATACTACTTCGAGAATTGGTCTAGCAGGTACGAAATCCAAACAAGCAAAATGGAGTATCATGAATTCAAAAAGTGTGTTTACGCAGAGTTTGAAAAAACAATAGTGTATTTCATGAGTTTTCTAAGGTTGTTCGATGGAACAAAAGTTAATGTCTCCTGAAGAAAAACTGCAATGAGATGTATAGCTCTCATATAGAGAATCTTAAAAAAGAAATTTAAAGCAGGACTATGTTTGTAGTACCGCTGACATATGGCCCACCAAAACAAGAAATTTGATGGGTGTTATAACTGCACTGAATAGACGCAAACTTGGAGAGAAAAACTACAAACATTGTAGAAATGCTTGAAAATATCAATTTTAATTTCAGCCCAAATCGTCGCGACAGTAACGGGCAATGTTTCGAATTTTGTTAAAGCATTCCGTGAATTCTCGATTACAGAAGAATTCCAAGAATTAGAGGTTAACAAAACCAGACACAGACATGCACTAGGTGAAGATCAAGAAGAAGATCAGATGAATGAAATCGAATAATAATGCTACCAGCGCATATTCGATGAATTTAATTGCCACGACCGATTGCAAAAATGCAATTCAATCAAATGTTATACTAAGAACGAGAGATACACAAGTTTTTTCAAAATGTAGTATCTTATGGGCAAAAGCAGGTAGACCCAAAATTGCTGAAATGATCAAAGCGGTTTTGGGACATACTCTAAGTTATCCAGGAATAACAAGATGGAATTCCTATTTTGATTCGATTTTCCAGATCTTGAATGTAAAAGCAAAACTTCCGTCTCTTTGCCAGCGGCTTAACATTAAAAATTTTAAGGAAACCGAGTTGCAGTACTGTATGGTATTGCATTGTATTTTTGCAAGGACTCGATTGTGTTTATTATGGATACTTACTGCCGAGTCTTCTTCCTCGGCAGTAGGAAATAAATGGGAAAAATTAAAGCTTCAGTATATGAGTTCCAATGGTGAATTACTTTTAAGAACATGTATGGATAGCTTAAATAGAAGGTTTTCCGACATACTTAATTTGACGTCAGAGTCTACAATTATTTCTGCAATTGTTCATCCAAAATTTAAGTTGCGATGTTTTAAAAACCCCAAAATATTCTCTGGACGTTATAAAGAAATTGGTAATCAGAGCTGCGGTGGAACTTATATCTATTGACGATGATGGTAGCGAATATGGAGCGTTCTAGCGATAGAACACCTGATGATTTCTTTCATTTTAATGAACGCGAAACATCTAAACATACTTTTTCCTCAATTATGACACATACCTGGTACCCGATACTGGAGTACATTTTCTCAATCCCCACAGCTCTTGGATAGTGTTAATTCTGGTTTTAGTTTAATTTGATATTTCTTATTTTATTTAACCTGTTTTTGGCCACAACGCATTAACACCAATTCCAAACGGTTCTAATTCTTCGCTCATTCCCAAAACGCACATAGACATTCCATATTTAGCCATCGTATAAGCAACGTTTTTCGAAAACCATCCCGGATGCATATTAAGCGGGGGAGAAATATTTAAAATGTGCGGATGAGAACTTTTTTGTAAATAAGGAATACATTCTTTAGATACTAAAAATGTTCCTCTCGTATTAATGTTATGCATCAAATCGTAACGCTTCATTTCGGTATCTAAAGTTCCAGTCATTGAAATTGCGGAAGCGTTATTAACAACAATATCAATTCCGCCGAATTTTTCTACAGCTTTTTTTACGGCTTCTTGTATTTGTTTTTCATCTCGTACGTCGACGATACACGGTAGAGCTTTACCTCCGGCTTTTTCAACCTCTGCAGCTGCCGTGTAAATTGTTCCGGGGAGTTTCGGATGGGGTTCGGCCGTTTTTGCGGCTAAAACTATGTTTGCACCGTCTTTTGCTGCTTTTAATGCGATTGCTAAGCCAATTCCGCGACTAGCACCGGTTATGAATAAAGTTTTCCCGGATAATTTTCTAAAATCGATTAAATTTTTAAAATTTAATTAATATTATTTAGTACTTACCCAGT